TTTTTTTTTTTTTTTTTTTTTTGGTACTGGGGATAGAACTCAGAACGTTGCACTTGCTAGGCAAGCGCTTTGCCACTGAGCTACATCCTAGCCCAGCTACATCCCAACCCTCCCTGAGCTTCTTTTTGCTCAAAGCTAGCACTCTACCACTTGAGCCACAGTGCCACTTTCAACTTTTTCTGTTTATATGGTGCTGAGGAATCGAACCCAGGGCCTCATACATGTGCGGTAAGCACTCTACCACTGAGCCATCTTACCAGCCCTTGGGCTGGCTTTTAAACCTCAATCCCTAGATCTCAGCCTCCTGAGTAGCTAGGATTGCAGGTGTGAACCACCAGCACCTGGCTATATTATCATTCATCATTGTGTATAAGACAGCTGGTTGAAGTAGTGTTAGCTGAAATTACTGAAGCCTTTATCTAAAGTAATAAATTCATTGCATGGTACTGTGGTTCCGGTCTTAGCACTTGTAAGCCACATAGTTAAGCTTCATTCCCAAGGTGTGGCCAAGCACTCATGAACCATGAAAATTGGAAGACAGGGCATCTCTTTATGTGAAAGATTCATTCTTAGCAATACAAATACCACTGAGAAAAAGTGTGGCCCAGGTCTGCTAAGGTGGCTCAGTGGTAGAGTGCTTGCCTTGCATGCATGAGGCCCTGGGTTCAATTCCTCAGCACCCCATAAGCAAAAAGAAAAAACCAGGAGTGGCGCTGTGGCTCAAGTGGTAGAGTGATAGCCTTGAGCTGAAGAGTTGAGGGACAGCGCCCAGGCCCAGAGTTCAGGCCCCACAAACCGGACCAAAAAAAAAGAGTGTGGCCCTTGTACTTCCCAAGATTTTGGTTAATGATCACATGAATATGCATATAAAAAGATGTCTGCAGGGGCTGGGAAGGTGGCTCAGTGGTAGAACGCTTGCCTTGCATGCCTGAGGCCCTGGGTTCGATTTCTCAGCACCACATAAGCAAAAAGAAAAAAAGCTGGAAGTGGCGCTGTGGCTCAAGTGATAGAGCACTAGCCTTGAGCTGAAGAGCTGAGAGATAGCGCCCAGGCCTGGAGTTCAGGCCCCACGACCGGACCCAAAATAAAAAGGAAAAAAAAAAGATGTCTGCAGATTCTAGAATTTTTTTTGGGGGGGGGTCTGTTACTTGCACATTTACCACATTCATGTAATACGTGATGAGCTCATGGATGTCTTTTGCCACATACTGTCTTACATTATTTCATGTTAGGAATAACTATCAACCACAATAAACATTTCTAAATATTTGGGAAGTAGCCATTTATGAGTATATATCTATATACATATATATAGATATATACATGGAGAGAAAACATGAGGAATGGGTTCTGTTCTGCTTTGAAATTGTGAAGTGGTTCAGAGCTTCTCTTGTTCATCTCCAATGACTGCATAGATTCATCTGATTTCCCAGATATGTCATATGTCAACCATATGCTCAAAAAATAGTTTATATATAGACAGTGCCATGTCAATTCAGAACTTCCTTTAGCCGTGAGAAAGTGCTGTAGTCGAAAAAATATAGGTGACCATTTTAATATACCCATGGAAGTAGTGCTCATTCTGTATAAAAGGCATGTTTCTTACTTTAATGAGTATTGACTAGGAAAGTATTGATAATCTCATTTTCCTCACGACTCAAACCTTCCATTATCCTCAGAAGTAGGACCTAGGCCATTCTACTTTTCCTTCTAGCCATTGTACACTGTCATATACCTACGCATAACTTTGATAGTAGAGATCTCTCACTTAATCTCCCATGAAAGGGTTTCTGTCATCAGCAAGATAATGTTCTACAGCCTAACTATTCTGTTCTCAATCTCTCCATATAATTCCTAGATAAAAAAAATACCAAATTTAATCTATGACTATTAAACTTCATAGAAGAGTCAGGAGGCCAATTAAACTACAGGGAATGCTATTGTCATAGCCAGAGTGAAACAGCCAACGATCCTGGACCTTTCTATCTCAGTTCCTTTCCTGGATATACTTGTTGTTAGTGGTATGGGTTTTTGGTCAAAGATTAAAGCTAAGCTGCCTGCAGGGAGTGTAGCTGCTCACACTTCCGAGTATTACGTGATGGTGCCTGCCTGTTGACTGTCTTCTGTTTTTCTTTTTCTTCTCATCACTTCTTTGTCCCATCTTCCAGGAATGCCCTTATTTGCACTCTCCCTCCATGTTCAGTGCTCTTGAGTTAAACTCCTGTCACCATAGAGATTGTTCTCTGAGCATTCTATAGCTGTTAATGTATTTTATAAATGTACAATATATAGTCTATGGTTTAGCTTAATTCCGCTGGTTTTTTTTTTTTTTTGCCAATCCTGGAGCTTGAACTCAGGACTTGGGCACTGTCCCTGAGCTGCTTTTGCTCAAGGCTAGTGCTGTACCACTTGAATCACAGTGACACTTCCGGCTTCTTCTGTGTATGTGGTTCTGAGGAACCAAACCCAGGGCTTCATGTGTGTGAGGCAAGCACTCTACCACTAGGTCACATTCCCAGCCCAACCCCAGTTTTTTTTTTATGGTATTTTTGCTCTAGGAGATCTGTCTATTGACGAAAGTAAAATGTTACTCTCCTCAAATTTTTTTGCATTAGAGTTGGTGTCTCCTTTTAGAGTTAATTATGTTTGCTGAAAAATATTTGCTGGGTGCAATGACTCAAGCCTGTAATCCTAATTACTTGAGAAGCAGAGATCAGTGGTTCAAGATTACCCTGAGAAAAGATAAAAGACTACATTTTGATTAATTTGGAGAAGTGACATGAACATTATGTCCCACGGACATAGGGAAGCAAAAAGAGGAAGATTACAATGCAGGCTAGCCTGAGCATTAAGAAGAAAACTATCTTGAAAATTACAAACCCTAAAAGGGGCTGGCTCAAGTTGCAGAGGACCTCGCCTGCCAAGCCCTGGTGGCTCACACCTGTAATCCTAGCTAATGAGCAGGCTGAAATCTGAGGATCATGGTTCAAAGTCACCCAGGGCAAGAACATTCAAAGCCAGCCCAGACAGGAACATCTGTGAGACTCTCATCTCCAATAAACCACCATAAAACTGGAAGTGACCCTGTGGTTCAAGTAGTAGAGTGCTAGCCTTGAGCTGAAGAGTTCAGGGACAGCGCCCAGGCCCAGAGTTCAAGCACCATGACTGACAAAAATGAAAACAAAAAGAAAGCATACGGCCCTAAATTCAAACCCTAGTATCACCAAAAAGTAATGAAAGAAAAAAATACTGAAAAGTATCTTTAACATATAAATTACATGCTCTAAAATTCACCCATTTAAAGCTTACAATCCGTTGGTTTGGAAATGTTTACAGATTGTGGAAATTTCACCACCTGAGCTGACTCCGTGTAGTACTTCTCACCTACAATTCTAGCTACTTGGGAGGTAGAGAACAGTGAGATCATGGTCTGAGGCCAGCCTGGAAAAGAAGTTAGGCAATCTGTCAACCAATGACCCAGGGACATAATAGCCTGTGCATGTCATCCCAGCTATACTGGAAGCATGAATAGGAGGCTTGTGATCCAAGGCCACTTAGACAAAAACGCAAGATCCCATTTGAATAACTAAAGCAAAAACTAAGAGTTTAGTTCAAGTGCTTACCAAGTACTAGGCCTAGGTTCAGATTATAGTATATCCTAGTAGATATAAATTCAGGAATATAGCCGGGCGCTGGTGGCTCACGCCTGTAATCCTAGCTACTCAGGAGGCTGAGATCTGAGGATCGCGGTTCAAAGCCAGCCCGGGCAGGAAAGACTGTGAGACTCCTATCTCCAATAAACCACCAGAAAACCGGAAGTGGCGCTGTAGCTCAAGTGGTAGAGCGCTCGCTTTGAGCTGAAGAGCTGAGGGACAGCGAACAGGCCCCGAGTTTAAGCCCCACGACCGACAAAAAAAAAAAAAAAAATTCAGGAATATATCATACTATATAATAATTCAGGAATGTATCATACATCAACAGGTTACATGGAAAACAGCATGTCCTGAAAAAAGAGTTTCTAATAACTTAAAAAAGGTCCAAGTGACAAGGACTTTGATACATTTGATAAGTTCAAATGAAATGTGACAAAACGTACTAAGACATTTGATGCATTAATGATCACTTATTTACTAAATAATAAAGATAGAAGAATCCCTCCTGCCACATGAGTATAATTTTAGACTGAAGGGCTTCTAGTCAGAGACACTAAGCCCATCAGTTCCCACCTAACCTGTTCCCCGACCTTCTCATTGTCACATCGAGCCTCAGGAATTGGATATACTGGACTCCATTTTCCCTCTTATTAGTCTGATTCTTCCTCATCCTCTTCCTCTTCTTCCTCTTCACCTTCCTCTTCCTTTTTCTCCACCTCTTCTGGTTTTTCTTCCTCTTGCACTTCTGGTTTCTCTGCCTCTTTCTCTACTTCTTCTTCTTCTTCTTCTTCCTCTTCTTTGGCAACACATAAAAGGTAAATAATTACTCCTAATACTATTATTGACAAAATTATCACAACAATTATAATTTGTGTGCTTTTAGCCAGTTCATTTTTGGTTTTAGTTTCTTGTTCTTGTGGACCTTCTTTCTTGGGCTGCTCTGGCGGGCCACTGTCCAGACTCCCACCATTTCCTCTATTTCTGCAATCTGGAGGTGCAGTGCCAGGTATACAATGGCAGTGCATTAAATCATTACAAACTCCTCTTGAATTACACATTGTATCTAAATTGCAGGAAGGTTTCATTATTTCAGTGTGAATACAAGTATAATCTTGACAAGTTTTCCTGTCACCACAAATACTGCCTCTCCATACGTCTCCATCTTCAGGGACTCCTGCCGTCTTAAAAGCATCCATGGTCCAACAGAAATCTTGCTCATGAGGTACCTGAATAAGGGTATGACCAGGTGTGATTTTTGGCATTGAAGTTACACTCATACATACAATTTTACCACAAATGGCATTTTCTTCAGGACACTTTACAAAGCTTCCTGAAGACCCAGGGACACGGCCACAGTGTCCAAATCTATTTCCTCTGCTGTTCAGTGCAACATAACATGCCCTTGGAGCAGATGTTGCACTTTCCCCAAACACAAACATACACTGTCCATTATAGTCCATGCAATGACCATTAAGACAATAATATTCTTCATTACATGGACTGCCATCTTCTAAATATCTGTTTTGAGGGCATTCTACTGAAGCACCATCACAGTATTCTGGGAGGTCACACAACCCAAAAAGACCACGACACATGAATCCGCGCTTTTGAATTTGGCATCTGCTACAGCAGGGTTCATTACTACATACTGCATTACGTTTTAGTTCACAATTCGGGTTACAGCATGGGTCACTGTCACAAGAACCCCCACAGTCACACTGTTCTGACTCCTCTATCACACCGTTTCCACACCTAGCACTCCTGTGCTTGCGGCTTCTGCGCTGTGGCTTGTTAAACAGACAAGCCCCTTTGTGTCCGAGAAGGAAACGGTAGAAGGAGTCAGAGCTGCAGTTGCTGAAGGCACTTCCTTGGGTGATGTTTTCATGCATGAGGCAAAGGTGCTTGCCTTTACACGAGCAGGCTGAGTGGTCATGCTGAATGCCCAGGTTGTGCCCGAGCTCATGGACCATGAGTGCTGCAAAGAGGAGGACATCTTTGTGATGGAAGGATTCCACAGCCGCCGCAAAACCACTCGAACAGGCACCATCGAGAAATGCCTGGCCCATGCTCTGTCCGGGATGATGCCCAACGATCATGTGGGCAACATCGTGCCTCACACGGTGGAGGAGCTTGTCTCGCCGCCAGCTGTTGAAATTCCTGAGTGCCACCTGCAGGTCCACCGGGACCTCTACCAGGTCCCCCTCGGTCCAGATCTCCACCCCAGCCAGCACCACCTTTGTATTGAGTCCCCTGGTGAAGCTGTTGGCCAGAGCAATGATGTCCAGTACTCCCTGGACCGTGTCATTGATGTTACTGCCCCACATCTGGAACCTCTGGTAGTTGACCACCACAAACATCTCCACATACTTGGTGTGTGTCCACAAGTAGGACAGCCCCTGGAGGTGATGAGGCTCCCTGCTGTCTTGCTGCCGGCCAGTGGGCAGCACTTGGCTGTGTGTGGAAGCCACACGACAGGAGGCTGGGGCTTGATGTGCCGTGGCGTACAAGACATGTTCGAACCGTTGGGAAGAGGGCATGGGCTCAATGCGGTAGGATGCCTCCTCCGTAATCAGGATGCCCCTGAGGCCTGAACAGGTGTTGACAGAAACAAAAGAATGTGGCACTCCTTCTATGTAGCCTTCATAGTGGCAGTCCTGTGAGATCCAAGGCACTGCTTGCTCCAGGACACCACGTTGGTAACTGTAGATGGGAAAGCCGCTCACAGAGTAGTCTGTCTTCACCTTCAGGTGAACCAGCTGCTTCTGACCTTGGATGAACAGCATGTACGATACGGTTTGGACCAGACCTTCGCCTCTCTTGACTGTCAGCTGCTCTGGGATGACTATTTCATGGGAAGAGCCGTGTACCGATTCCAGGTCACAGTGCATGCTTGGGAGAAGAATTACCCCCAGGAGCAACATGGTTGCCAGCCTGACACACCGATGTCCTGGTGCAAATTCCGGCCTCAGTCCCTTCGTCTGGGGAGCCCAAGTCTGAAACATTACCTCAACTGCTTCTAGGGTCACTTGCCTTTTGCACAGAGAAGGCAAGATGGAGGCTGAGATCCTTGGTGATGTCACCACTGACATGGCCCAAAGGAATCAGTTGATAAGGCAAACGCCTGGCCTGTGTCCATCAGCAGCACATTGCCTGACAAGCTCTTCTGAGATGCGGATACTATCCCTGGAGGTGTGCTGGCTCCTTGTGGGCAGTTGCTGACCAACACTTAAGCACGGCCTTCAGGCTGTGTCTTTTCCTATTCTTGTTTCTCACCTGGCCTTCAGCAGTAGCCACCGGACAGGAGTTCCTTTCAACAGCCACAGTTTGACGTTCCCTGGCTAAGTTTCTTTTTATGTTCATGGAGAGATGAACCAGGTAGAAGGCTTGGTGTGGTTCAGCAGTACAGTATCTCTGATTTCACTTTATTTTGTCCAGGCCACACTGCTCCTGATAGCCGTTAATCTGCCCATTCTTTCAAATCCAACATTCTGGCAAGTGGCCCTGGGGGAGGGGATGCAGATTCTCTGGGGATCTCTGAGCAGGACAGTGTTCTCTGTTGCCCACTGCCTCTTCCTCTTGTCTACAGGTTTCTGGATGATGTTTCTCTGTTCAGTCCTCCTTAGTCAGTGATTTGGTATTTTTCTCTCCCTGAAAATCATGATAGTCCAAGTTTTCATCACTATTTTTTGTTTTTAGTAAATGGATTTAGGACGTTCTATCTTGTGAAAAGTAATTCCTCTCTACCAAGACATTTTCCTAAAGCAGACATAGTGTTGTGTGATCTTATTTTCAGCAGGTAAGGATATGAGACCTGGTCAAAGTTCAGTTCCTCTCAACTGCCTCAACATTAAAACTGAGTTCAGAGTAAAAGTGAATTATGATTTAAACAGGTCTAGACTTCTCAATCAAGATTATAAGTATAGGATCTATAAGAAGTCTATTTCCATTTTTGTAATAAAATTGAACTGTAAGTATTTGGTAGATATTTGTTTGCCTGCTTGTTTGGTTGTGGTGCTTAGTATTAAACCGTGGCATTTCTTTAACTGATGTAGACTCCAAGATGTCTGTTTAATTAATTCTTTTTTTTTTCTTGTCAGTCATGGAGCTTGAACTCAGGACCTGGGCTCTGTCCCTGAGCTTTTTCACTCATGGCCAGCACTCTACCACTTTTTGCCAGAGTGTCAACTTCTGGTGTTTTTTTTCTGGTGATTAATTGGAGATAAGAATCTCATGGGCAAGCCGGGCTCTGGTGGCTCACGCCTGTAATCCTAGCTACTCAGGAGGCTGAGATCTGAGGATCGCGGTTCAAAGCCAGCCCGGGCAGGAGAGACCGTGAGACTCCTATCTCCAGTAAACCACCAGAAAACCAGAAGTGGCCCTGTAGCTCAAGTGGTAGAGCGCTCGCCTTGAGCTGAAGAGCTGAGGGACAGCGCCCAGGCCCAGAG